TGAAAAGAAGTGCTTGGAAGTGTTTGGCATGCTGATCTCACCCGAGGGGCAGACCTTGATTCTCCGGCTTCCAGTCTAAGGAAAATGCCCACGGAAATCTGAGAAGTCACATTGGCCGGAGGGCTGGCTTTTCTTGCTCTGGGTAGATGGGCGTGTGTGGGGTCGCACATCGAGTTCCAGTTCTCCCCTGTCGTCAAGCGGGGACCTGCTGCTGTCCCTCTGCATACCTCTGCTAAAGCGTCTTCATGCACATTCTTGAGGATCGAGGCGTAACTGGTCCATCAGTGCTGAGCTCTAATTTTCAGATCAGCGGCCATGAATGAAGGAAAGTGCGGCCCAGGACAGCTACGCAGAGCTGTCGGTCAGTCAGCTTCAACTCATTGCCTACACGAATGAGCAATTCTCAGCTCCAAAGTGGGAGGCTTATGCATGCCCTGGGTATTTTTTTTTTTTATCTTCTTTTTTTTTTTTATTTATTCATTTATTTATTTGTGTGTGGCCAGCTCAGCCCACCAGGGGGTGGGGCTGGCTGGCATGTGGTGCTGGGGGATTGAACCGCGGTCCCTGTGCTTTGCTAAGCTTGTTCTGAGTAGGTGCTTTAGACCACTGAGCCATCTCACCAGCCCCATGCCCTGGGTATTAATGTCTGTTAGCAGTAGATGCACTTGGGGAGAGCTAAAGGGCAAATTCTTGGGACCCACTCAGAGTTTGCGTTAGAACAGACGTTTCAGGTGCTCCTAATGCAGTGATCCTCAGAATCCACAGGGAGAGATGCAGCTCTCCCTGTGAAGAAAGGTGCCAAAGGTGCCAGGCCAGGGTACAAGTTGCCATCTAGCCTGGGGTGGAGGTCCCTGCTGCTCCTGATCCCCCACAGCCTGACCCCTCTACAGTAGATGCGGCTGCACTCTCGGGTTCCCTCATGCCAAGATGTGAAAGCCATGCGCGACTGCCCCCTTTTCTCCTGCCCCACATCTGGGCCATAAGCAAACCCTCTTGGTCCATGCTCTAAGCTTCTCAGGTTTGGTACCTCCTCAGGTTCTCAGCCAGCGCATCTTACTGCCAACGCCAGCCCAGTGCCCATCTAATCCAGGTCAGGTCACTCTTGAGCATCTTCCCATCTCCCCCGGTCTGAAGCCCAGATCCTTCCTGCGTTCCTTCGGGCGTGGCCCAGTGACCTCCGTTCTCCTGCCCAACACAGTGAGCACCCTGCCTGACTCATCCCTGGGGTCCCTTGCCCACCTCCCCCAGACCTCTGCCTAAAGGTCGCTTTCCTGTGGCTCCAGCATCGAAAAGAACGACGTCGTGCTGCTTGGCCCTTAACACACCCGCCATACTACATACTGCGCTTGTCTATCGCCTGCTCCTGGAATAGTGTAACCTTCAGAGTGGGAAGTTTTGTCCTGCGTGATCGCAGCTCCATCACTGGTTTTTAGACCTGGTCGAGGCCTCAAAGGGGTACACCACAAATACTGCCCAGCTGCTGAGTAAATACATAAAATCGCAAGAGGCACGCAGCTTTCTCCTGACAAGCTGCTGTTGGAAGTGTGCACACTTCCTCCTGTCAAGGTGGGCATGGAAAGAGTGTTGTGAGGGTCGCTAACTGCCTCCTTTCTCTGCTGTGGCTGCTATGGAATGCTGGGAGGGTGAGTTCTACCCTAAAAAACAAGGTGATTGAAAAGATTCTCAGGTTAGCTTACCAATAACTAATTAACTCATCCTAATTAGACTTTGGAGTCTCCCATTGGCTTTTTGTAGGAGCATGAGTTATTTTTTGTAGTACTGGGGATTGAACCCATGGATACCACACCGTTGAGCTGTGTCCCTAACCCTTACGGAACCGGGGATTGAACTCAGGCCCTTGCGCTTGCCAGGGAAGTGCTTATTCCACTGAGCCGTCTCCCCAGCCCCTAGTTTTTATTTTGGGACAGGGTCTAGCTAAGTTGCCCAGGCTTGCCTTCAACTTGGGACCTGCCTGCCCCAGATTCCCAAGTGGGTGGAACTGTGGGTGTGCACTCCGCACTGGGTTCACCATTTTGTGGAAGAACACGGTTTGGCTTCCGATGAACTTGTCACGCTTTTCGTAATTGCGGGTGTGACTGTGCTGGCTGCGTTGTTGTGCCTATTTGTACCTGTATACGAGTTGTGGATACATTAGTGTTTTGGTTAAGTTAACCTAACTCTGAGGCTCTAAGTCTCTCTTCCACCCACCTCTCCTTGCTTCAGAATCCAGTTTGGAGTAGGAAATGGATCGAAGAACAGGACTTCCTTACTCACAGCAGTTCAGGGAGCCCACCAAGACCTGTTGATTCCTTAATTTGCAGACAGAACAGTGTGTAGAATTTGGTTTTATTTTTGCCTGTATGTCCTGAAAATGACTCCACTTTAGACCTACATCAGATTGCCTTTTTGCTTTAGCTCTCAGAAGAATGGTCAGAAAAATGTGATTTTGGCAATGCTGATGACAGGCAGGTCCTCCTGGTCCTCCTGATTTAGAGGTGAGGGAGCCCAGGCACTGCCTGTCTGCGATCTACAGAGCCCTGGAGGGTGGCTGAGCTAGGGACTGCAGTAGCCCCTGCCCCCTCCTGTCCGCTTACCCAGGAGCCTTCTGGGGGCTGATGGGGTTGCGACAGGGTGAGCTGGAGAAGTCTGGGCTTTGACAGCCCCGAGTTCAATTCATTCTCACTAGTTAACTTCCCTCTCTCAAACCAGTGATAGACAGCGACAGTTTCTCTACAGTGCCCTCTGTAATATTTTTACTGTGTCCCATTCTGCCCTTTTCTGCCTTGAGCTTTGTCACTTTCCAGTTAAAAAAAAAAAAGTCATGCCTGTCACTTTCTTATTGTAAAAAGTTGAATTTTTGTCTTAATTTTCTATTTTTATCTAGCTGAAATTCTTTAGCTAAGCCCTCAGAGCCTTATAAAACCGAGTCTTGGGTCAGCAGCCTCGTGTTTACTGTGTCCCTCCTCACATTTTCCACTTCAGGGTCATCTGTTTGACCCCCCAGCTTGCTGGTTTGGGAGGCTGTACCAAGAGCCCTTGTGTGTTGTCCTCACGTCGCTGCTTCTTGCCTGTGCTTTCTCCAGCATGCTGTAGTGTCTGTCCCCACCACCTCTGCTGTGTCCTACCTTGAAGACTCGCACAAGACTTCTTTGTTGGAGCCCACATGGACTTTGTCCAAACCCCTAATCTTCTTCTTAACCTCACGCTCCTGTTGGGTGTGACTGGATCCCTCAGCAAGTGAGACTGTAGAGGCGTCCTTGTGGGTTCCAATCCACCTTTGTCACATGCTGTGTGACTTCATTGGGGTGTGTCCCTTTTGCCTCAGTTTCTTTATCTGTGAAACAGGGACTTAAAACAATGCCTGCTACCTGAGGTTCTTGTGCAGATTAAGAGTTACTTAATGGAGGAGTATCTGGTATATCCGGCACTGTTTAAATGTTAACTTTAGTTGCTGATCCAACTGTTTATACAGACCGCATTGTTGTACATGTTTTGCTTCCTCTTCCATTAGCTTGTTTTCTGTTCTTACCTGGAACATTTGGTATTAATATTTTGATTTCTTTTTTCTTTCCCTTTTTCTCCTTTTTAGGCCTAAACCTGGATACAACTGTGGCCTAAGAGTAGGGTATCCTTCATCCTTGGGGGTCTGTCACTCCCCACCAGCCCTGGTGTGTTGCATTAGTGTGCTCTTGGGGTCTCCAACAAACCCCAACTCTTCCTTAGGACTCAGGCAGAGGTAGGTGCAGGCAGTCTGCCCCTGGTGGCCACATCTGGGATTGGCACACTCCCTGCGATCCTGAGAAGAAGCACCCTTGGCCCATCCGTGACCCCCATCCATACCCCACTGCCTTGGCCACTTCCTTGATGGACAGTGGCTTGTGCCCCGATGCCCTTGTTTCTTGGGGGGACAAATAAGCTTTCCTTTTTCTTTAATGGTCAGAGTAAGTGGAGATGGCAGCAACAGTGCTTGGAGCACCAAGCTTGCCTGGTCCACCAGAGCTTTCTAGGAACTCTGTGACTGTAGCCCAAGCCCCCTCCTATTACCTGGACATCCTGCTTGTGCCCTGCCCAGCCCAGCAAACCCTGCAAGGGCTGAGAGGGTGTTAACAGTTTGATTTCCTGTTCCTTTCCCCTCCTCCACAGCCTCCCCCCCACCCTGAAATGTAGGTCCGAATGCATTCTTTTTTTTTTTTTTAATGAATTTAGAAGGAGAGGGTCTACAAGGTGTGTAGGGTATACAGGGTCTCACTGCACAGGTTGGACTCATAGTGATTCTGCTGTTTTCAGTCTCCCAAGTGCTGGGATCCCAGGTGGGTGTCACCATGCTCAGTCTCAATCACTGTCTCAGCACGCCCCAGGGGTGGGGCTGGCACAGCATGTGGGGGATTGAACCCTGACCGCGGTGCTCTGCCAGGCAGGCGCTTTAGTCCGCTGAGCGCTGAGCTATCTGGCAGACCCTGTGAATGCGCTCTTAAAGGCTCTTCTTTCTCCGAAACCAAATTTCTAGGTAGGGACACTATAGGTTACTTTTTAAAGTTCAGGGTTACCTAAAAGAAGAAAGGAACAGTTGTCAGCTCTGTCCTTTGCCTTGTTCTCAGTGGGTGTCTATTAGACCATGCCTAATTGCTGGCACGTGGCCATTCCTGAGCCACAGAGATGGCAGTTCCCTGCAGCTCCCCCAACGTGGCCACACTGGACTGGAGCCCCTTCATTTGCCTGCCACACTCCACTCTCCATGCCGCAGTCTTACTTTTTAGTTCCCCACACTGCAACGTGCCCCAGATGCTAACAGCAAGCAGTGCCTCTTGCCAGAAGACAAAGCAAGTGGATTCCCTTGGGCTGAGTGTTATTCTTGTCTCTTCAACTTCAAAAACCTCTTTGTTTATTACAATCCACACCTGTGTCACAGAGCAGATGCTGCGTCTGCAAGGCAAGGAAGCTTGCAGCTGCCATGCCAGAATCGCTCCGTGGCCCTAATGAAAGTTTGTTTTATTTTTCAGTCTTTACCTATAACTCTGCCAACAAGGAAACCTGCGAGCACAACCACGGCCAGTGCTCCCTGCATGCCTTCTGCACGGACTATGCCACCGGCTTTTGCTGCCATTGCCAGTCCAGGTTTAACGGAAATGGGAGGCACTGTCTGCCAGAAGGTGATTGGCGGGGGGCTGCTCTGGGTGTCCCGCTTCTGCTTCCCAAGCGCCTCTCTGGGCTCTTCTCTGTGGACCTTATATCTCCACAATGTAAGCCTTGGCAACTTGCATGTACTGAATAAATGTAGGCGGACTGAGTCAGTTTTGTGATGGTTCCCCAGTTCGAGGATACCCAGAGTTATTTTGCACACCCACTTAGCTCTTGCACACCACCCCCAGCTTGGCTGATGGATTTTCTGTCTCCCAGGAGCCCCTCATCGAGTCAATGGCAAAGTGAGTGGCCACCTGCGTGTGGGACACACGCCCGTGCACTTCAGTGACGTGGACCTGCATGCTTACATCGTGGACAATGATGGCAGAGCCTACACGGCCATCAGCCACATCCCGCAGCCGGCGGCCCAGGCTCTCCTCCCCCTGATACCCATTGGAGGCCTGTTTGGCTGGCTCTTTGCTTTGGAGAAAGAGGGCTTCAAGAACGGCTTCAGCCTCACAGGTAAGCAGGGCTGTCTCAGTTACTCTTGTCTCACTGCTGGGACAAATACCCGACACCCAAAATTTAGGAAGGAAAGGTTTATTTAGCTCATAGTGGAGGTTTCAGTCCGTACTCAGCTGGCTCCAAGGCAGAGTGGCACATGGCAGAGAGCAGCCTTTCATGGCAGCGGCAAAGAGCAGAGAGCAAACAGTTCATGACATTGGAAGGCAGCAAAACAGCAAGAGCAAAAGGGAGGAGTGACCCCAACAGTGGCAACAGAGGCCACAGAGAGCAAGTCTGTCTCTCTATCTCTCTTATGTTACATTCAGGCTATCCGCCCCAGGGTGGGTATAGTACTCAGACCAATATTCCCAGGAGTACTCAGACCCACAATCCCAGCCTTGGATCATGAATTTAATCACAAACTAGAACTGCACCTCAATGGCTGCATAAAGCTTTGGGGGGACAAATACACACAAACCATGACAAGGGCCCTGGGAGGGCTGATGGCTGCTGCCCGTGGCGCGCTCCTTGGGGTGGTGCCTGGGAGGAGGGAAGGCGGCCTTCTGACGCTGGAGCCCAGATGTGCATGAGTTTCTGTACAAAGGCCATTGGGATTCCCTTTGGGTTTGCACAACAGCGTTTTTGAAAGAGCAATTGCTTCTAAATGTTCTTCCAGCTCTTGAGAAATAGGGTGACTCCCTTAGCATTTGGGTCCTTTTAACCTAATTTGTTGAAGCCAATTTGTTTCAGGCTGTATTTAAGTACAGAGCTGTCAAGCAGGAATGCAAAAAAAAGTATCAGGCACTTGCAGGTGATTTTCCTGCGCAGAGAGGGGTCCCTTTCCTTGTCTCACGCCCACCCCCACCCTATAGTGGTAGAGGCCAGTGCTTTCAACTTGGACCTGCACACAGATCTCCTCTCTGGCTGGGAGAAGGCAGGTTCTCACCCAGGAGGCCTGTGATCTTGCTTCTCCAGCAGGCTCCCGGGAGGTGCTCTTGCCAGGGTCTCCCTTTGATAGCAAGAACGTGGAGGATGCTTCCTGACCTCTCACATACTCACGTGGAAAGAGCTTGTTTTCTCCATTACATGCAAAAGAAAGTGCTTTGGAAAAATTTTTTTGCCCATTTCCAACTTCAGAGCCGAATGACTATTTATATACTATCTTGCCTTTAATCAAAATATTTAAATAAACCCTTGGGTCCAAAGTAGATAAAATATAGTGCAGCAAATTAAGTTTGAATTTTAGATAAACAATGCACTCTTTAGAGTGTAAGTATGCCTTTAATATTACATGGGACATATATGGAAACACACATTGTTTATCTGTAACTCGTTTAATTGGGTGTCCTGGTTCATGTTCTGTTGCGTGTGTTTTCATTTTATTTGCTCTTTTGTGTTTGCCAATCCTGGCCACCTTAATGAAGTTAAGGGTGTTCATGAGAGTTTCTTTCTCACAGAATACAAGCCCCTGCACACAGAGGTGGTGCGAGGGAAGGTGGGGTGCAACCGTTTGGGAACAAAAAAGTTGGGAGTTTAGGGAATCAACTGGTGATAGGACTTAGGTTGAATAAGGATTAAGGCAGTATGTGAGTAGGCTCCTTAGCTGTAGAAATTAGGGAAGTATTCATTTTAGTAGTGAAGGGGATGCAGCTCAGGGCCTTTTTTTGGTACCAGGAGTCGAACACAGGACCTCACGCTTGCCAGGCAGGTGCTGTGTCGCTGAGATATTTCCATAGCCCTCCTCTGTTAGGCAAACTCCATTACTGAGGCACAGCCCCAACAGTGCTAGTAATTCCTTAAATAAGGCCTCTTTTCACTTCTGTGCTGATTTTCTTTTTTCTTTTCCAGGTGCTACCTTTGTCCATAATGCAGAAGTGACTTTCTACCCAGGAGAGGAGAGGGTTTGGATCACTCAAACTGGTGAAGGACTAGACCCGGAGAACTACCTGATCGTCAAGACCAACATCCAAGGCCAGGTGCCCTCCATTCCAGCAAATTTCGTGGTCCACCTCCCTCCCTACAAGGAGCTTTACCATTACTCTGACTCGGGTATGTCTGACCGGCGACATCCACAAAATAGGAACACTACCTACCTCACAAGAGCTATACCATAGTTCTGAGAATTAAACGAGTAGCGACGTGGAATGTTCTAGAATACTGGCATCTAGGATGAGCTTAGTATTCTTTTCAGTCTTATGAAACACATAAGTAACTGAGCAGAGTGCTAGCTGCTCTACACTGGAGCATCAATATCCTTACTCCATAGTATTTATAGTATTATGTATAGTACTACTTATAGTACTGTTGATACTGTAAATAGTATCAACAATACCACTATCTATGAGGATGGGTAGAGATGGTATAATCATATACAACTTCTAACCATGCTAGTGTGGGGCGCAGAGAAAGAGTGGATTGTTAGAATTTGTCCTGAACCTTGTTTCAGCTGGATTTGACCTGCTTTAAAGTCACAGAAAGAGGCTTCGCAGTGTCTTAAAACTTACCCGAGATTTGGAGTCAGGAGATAAAATTTCATATGGTGAACTTGGCATTTAAGACTGTGCGGGAAGATCACTTAACAGTTATCTCCTCTTCAGCATGAGAATAGAGGAATCTTTTCTATCTAGTTACCTGGTTTATAATTGTACACTGTGTGACGTGTTTTGGAAAGTGTTACCTGTGTGTCAGACATACTATGGTCACAGTAGCCAGTATGTGGCTTGGCTGGAGTCGTGTCTGCCCTCTGGGCCTGGCTTTGTTCATGGTCTGAGGGCTGGAAGCTGGACGGGTGGCGACACAGGGAAGCCCGGACTGTGCCCAGCAAGGTCCAAAGCCGTGTAGCTGCCCGGGCTCTACTCCCAGCATACCTTTCTTCTACGAGTTGTGCAGACTCGCTGAAGTGTGAGATCGTGGGAGGGGCCGCTCTGCATGGTGTGCAGGATGGGAGGTTCCGCGCTCTGGGTGCAGTCAGAGTGCCGTGAGTGCTGGTGTAGTGTCCTGTGCCCCAGCCCTGCGTCTTGGCCTCTGTAAGGCTCTGCCTCCATGGTGGTGGTGCTGCGATGACAGTGCCTGCTCATGGCGCTGCTGGGAGGCATGCGCAAGGGAGGACATCGCAGTAACGCTTACGCCTGGCGGACCATGACAGTAGCCATGGTAGCTCTTCCTCCTCCTCAGCTCCATGGCTCTGCAGCCTCTTAGTTTCCCGGGCTTCCCTTATAAGTTTCCCAAGGGAATGTGCTGTAGGAATTAGATCAAAGAAAGACTGTGGGGTTTCTACTTCTGCACTTTATATTTTAAAGTATTTAACAGTTCATCTGTAAAATGTCTGTTGCAGCTGTGACTGTCACAAGTTCCAGAGACTACTCTCTCACTTTCGGAGCCATCAACCAAACGGGCTCGTACCGCATCCACCAGAACATCACTTTCCAGGCATGCAGGCACGCCGGACACCAAGCTGTCCCTAGCCCCCAGCAGCTGTCGGTGGACCGAGTCTTTGCCCTGTACAGTGAGGATGAAGGAGTGCTTCGATTTGCTGTGACCAATCAGATTGGCCCTGTGGAAGGTAAGGGTTCTCATTTTTATTGTTATGCAAGTGATCTCCTTTTCGAGACACCTCTGCACAGTGCAGAGGTTAGTGAGGGTTAATGAGTGCCCCTGCTCTATGTTAGGTGCTGGGTGTAAGGGCGAAAGAGCAGGGGCCCTGTCATAGAGGTGGAGGTGGGTAGACCTGGCACTTCTAGGGCAGCATCCCTGCCAAGGCCGGAAAGCAGAGCCAAGGGCCTGAGCTGTCCTCATGGTGAAAGACTGGCTGCTCTCAGGATCAGCACGAGGACGAGGACATCTGCTCTTGCCACTGCGGTCTAGCACAGGGCTGGAAGTGCCAGATCAGACGACTCTATTTATTTATTTATTTATTTATTTATTTATTTATTTAGCGGAACTGGGGATTGAACTCAGGCCCTTGCGCTTGCCAGGGAAGCACTTATTCCACTGAGCCATCTTCCCAGCCCCACAAAAAAAAAATCAGACAACTCTAAATTGGAAAGGTAAAATTGAAATTGTCTCTGGTCTCTGATGACATGATCAACCTCACTGCGTGTACAAAAAATCAATGCAAGATGGGTCAAAGACCTAAATTTATGAACCAAAACTTCTAGAAGACAGAAGGATATGTTTCTGTGATCTTGAATGTGGCTCTGGTTTCTTAGTCATGATACTAAAAGCATAAGCATCAAGACCAAAAATAAATGGACGCCATCAAATTTTTTAAAAAATTGTGCTTCCGAGACCATTAACAAAGGAAAATACAACTCATGGAATGAAAGGAAATATCTTAGATTTAGTGAGAGATTGGATGTAGAATATATGAAATACTGTTATAAATCAAAGAAAAATCTATAAGATGGGCAAAGGCTCTGAAAAGACTTTTCTCTAGAGATACTCAAATACCCAGTGAGTAAAAAGTGTTCAACATCATTATCACGGAAATGCAAATCAAAACCACAGTGAGATACTACTTTATGTCATCTGGATTGCTTAAAAAAATACCCAAGTATTCGGATGTGGAGAATCTAGGTTCCCTCATTGCTGGTGAGAGCGTCAAACGGTGCAGCTACTGTGAAAAGCAATGGCAGCCCCTCAAAAAGTGAAACACAAAGTTACCATTTGATAGCAGTAGGAATCCAAGAGAGATGAGAACTTAATGTCCCCAAAAAATTCATAGAAGCATCCTCAGTGCCTGTCATTTGACACAAAATAGTCTTGAGTCCATACAGTGGATCTTTCTTCAACCATAAAGAGAACTGCACAGGCTACAACACAGACGAGCTTTGACTATGTCATGCTGAGTGAAAGAAGCCAGACAGACACACACATGCGCACGCATGTGCACACACACACACACACACACACACACACTCTTTCACACACACACAAACAGCATATTGAGAGATCCCATTTATATAGAATTTCCAGAATGGGCAATCTACAGAGGCAGCAGGTAATGGCCAAGACTGAGAGGGGAGAGAGAGAGAGAGAAAGAGAGAGAGAGAGAGAGAGAGAGAGAGAGAGAGAGAGAGAGAGAGAGAGAATAGCTAAAATGTACAGGGCTTCTTTGGCGGATAGCGAAATGTTATAGCAGTCGAGTGTCCCAGTGTGGAGCCATGCGGTTTCCCATGGTGTAGACGTACAATGATCATCTTTCCCAGGGAGTAGTCAGAGCTTGAAGTTCCTGCTGTCTTCCAGCCGCCAGCCAGTCCGCAACTGTTTGAGCTGCCAGTGGGCTTGGCTGTCGTCTGCGATGTCCTAGAACAGGACCCAGCAACACTTCCTGTCCGTCCCCTCCAGAGGTCCTTTTGGAGAGCTGAGGTCTGAGGCAGAGGGCTGTGCAGGGAGGCTGAGCGGCTGTCCCTTTAAGGAAACCACTCTTCTCTTCTTAATTAAATGAGCAAATTGCTTCCAGATCCCCCATCACAGTGATGAGGCTGAACTGCCAGATGGCTCGGGACAGGCGCTGCTGCTCTTACTGTGACAGGAGAAAAGATAACCGCTGTAAGGAGTGAATAGTGAGCAGACTTTAGCAATGTATCCTGGAAGTATATGGAGGTCTGATGACGGAGTTCAGTAACACAGTGCTTGCCTAGCATGCTGGAGGTTCTGGTTTGAGCCCAAGCGCTGCACAGTCCGTGTATTTATTTTTAGAAGCACAGTTCTCCATACTTGATTCAGTGTTCTGCTGTAAGTGAAATTCTTATTTTAGTTTTTAACATTGGGCTCTGCATTTTCATCTTGCATTGGGCTCTGTGAATTATGTAATGGGCCTTATCTGAGAGTACATTTAAGTAGTAGCATATAATTACGGACATTTTTCCCTCAATTTTATGTACTGTCATGTGTCTCCTCCCAAGATGGTAAGTTGCCTCGCCTTGGAGGTGCCTTGAAAATTTCCCTTTCTCTTATTGCCTAGCAGAGTGGCAAGCTTCTGACGTCCATGTGTATCACTAATCTTTGTTGGAATGTACCATGGTAAAATTTTGATGCTGCAAGGTGCTGGGTAAGAAGGCTTAGCCTTTGTATTTATAAATTAAAACATTCTGGAAATTGCTTTCCCCTTTGGCAAGGTATTCCAGGCATTTTGTACAGAGTCTTCTCCTAAAATGGAGAACGAGTGATGGGGAGAACCAGGTTCTTGTCTTACATTGGGCTCCGATGAGGACATGACCCGGCTGCTCCTGGTTGGTTAACGACACATGCTGCACCTGACTCCAGGATTTAGTCTACACCCTCAAGTGCACTCAGCTACCGCAGCAGCAGTGCTGCGTTCCTTCCTGTCTGCTAGGAGAGCAGAGCAGAAGATTCCTGAGGATGCCTGCATGGTTTGGGGAGCTTGATGTACGCTGGCATAAGCTCATGAGATTTAAAAAGTGTTAGGGTCAGGTGCTGGGCTTTTCTTTTGGCGAAGATTCTGTTGCTGTAGTCTGTGGCACTGAGGAGACAGCGTAGTGCTCCCTGTATTCAAGCAGTAATATGACATGGAGACTAGGGAGGTACTATGCCTTAGGAGCATAAGGTGATGTTTTGTATGAAGTGGATGCTGCGAGTGTACCAGAAGGTGACGTGACTTGGCCAAGGCATCTTAGCTGACAGCAGACTATAGAGGAAATTGAAGGAGGCCAGACTTGGCCCTGAGGGATGGGCAGACATCCTGGGGACCCGGAGGAATCCTGGCAGTGAGGTGGGCTGTAGCAGAGGCACTTGGGGTGTAGGCAGGAGCCACTTGGGCAGGTCTCACCCCTATGAGCACAGGGGCAGGATGAGAGGGCTGGAGACCCCAGGAGGGGAGGTAGCGCCAATGTGTATCTATAGGTACATGGAGCTGGTTTCCAGAATGGTGAGGGAACTCTGCAGAGTGGAAGGGTGTGGAGTATACACCTGCCTTGAAATCTTTTGAGTCTAAGTTTAGAATTAATTAAGGAACTGAGATAAAGCTAAAACCCCCAGTGAGGATGACCATGGCCCTGCTGAGGGAGGAAGAAGGATCACATTTATGGGAGACCTACTGGTGTGAGCACTACCATCCAATACAGTGTGTTGGGATTTTTTGTTTTGTTTTATGTATTTGGCACAGGGTCTCACTGCACAGCTCAGACTCGTAGTGATCCTTGTGTTTTCAGCCTCCCCAGCACCGGGATTACAGGCATGTACCACCACACCTGGTCTTGGTGGCTTGCTCAGCCCGCCCAGCTGTAGGGTCAGCATGGCATGTGGTACTGGGAATTGAAGCCCCCCCCCCCCCAGTCTCTGTGCTTATCTAAGCAGGTGCTTAGTCCACGGAGCGGTTTTTTTTTGTTTGTTTGTTTGTTTTTTTTTTTTTTTTTTTTTTTTGCAGTACTGGGGATTGAACTCAGGACCTGCGCTTGCCAGGCAAGAGCTTATTCTACTGAGCTATCTCCCCAGCCCTTGCTGAGCTATCTTGATGGCCTAGTGTTGGGATTTTAAAGGCAGTTCTGGCATATTCAAACATTTGTCCTGCTATTTTATGCCAGAGGAGTCTGAAAGAAACCAATACCCGAAGTTTAGATTCGTTATCTGGGCATGGAGCTCTCTCCAACTCTGCCGCCTTTGCTGGGTGTTGATTTGATAACCTTATAAAGTCGTGGTGGCAGCCAAGTGGCAGGAAGCGCCTGTCTCAGAGTGAGGATGTCTGTATTTCTATCTTATTGTGGGTCCATCCACCCCTTCTGACTGTGCGACTTTAGGTCCCTCGGTCCCTGGATGCTGCACTAGAGGTAAAGCTATGACGATAGCACTTTCTCTACACTGCAGCTAGTGAGGATTTAATGGAGCGCCACACGCACAGGGTTTAGAACAATGCCAGGTACACAACGCTGGGTGAGCACGAACCGTGACACTGTATCCAGAAACAAAGTTCTTCAGGGAAGATTTCAGATGTTTACACTGGTCACTGTCTCACTATCCTGGATGGATCCAAGACAAAGTTAAATCTTGAAAGTAAGATTTTTAAATTGCACTCTACCCATAGAATTAGTGAATTGTAGTGAGAGACTGTTCCAAATTTAGAGCCAGGAACTTGAATGTTGAGTCCGTGCTGAACCACTTCCTGCGTGCCTTTAGGTCATTTTGTCCCTGTCTCTGGCGCACTGTCCTTACTTGTGAAGTCCCCTGTCATGGCGCAGCATCCCCCGAACACAGCTACCTTGAGAATCACAGCAGATGGAGCCAAAGCTCTTTTAACTGAAAGGAGATGGGGCTATTTTTATTCCCTAGCTATAAACCCAGTGAAAGCAAGAAAACGCGACTACAGGATAAGCAAACGGAAACCATTCCGGAATTTAAATCAAGGTGCAGATAATCTAGCCTAGCTTTGCATGGTAATAACTTAGTAGAGTCTGCACATGCGTGGTGACACACACACGTGCCTGCTGTCAGTTCCAGGGACCCTTCTTTCCCCGTCCTTCCCTGCACGTGTTCTCTGTCAATCAGCCAGCCTATGTTTGGTTCCTTTCCACCCATGCAGCGGACTCAGAGCCCACTCCAGTGAATCCTTGCTACGACGGGAGCCACACGTGCGACACGGCAGCACGGTGCCATCCGGGGATGGGTGCGGAGTACAGCTGCGCGTGCGCACCTGGCTACCAGGGAGACGGATGGAGTTGCGCAGGTAAGAGCCGCGCTGTTTCCGTCCCGGCCGCTTGTTCTTACTTGGCAGACTCCACCTAGTTATGTGTGCGGGTGACACGTGGCTGCAGCCTCTGTGATCTCCGCTGATACATACTGTTTAGCAGCTGTTAATCTGAATGCAATCACAGTAGCCCCTCGCTATTTTGCGGTTCGGTTTTCGTGGACTCCCTGTTTCACGGGTTTTCAAAAACTATTCATCTAAATTATTGAGAAGTTTTTTTCTCCATATTGCATTGCAGGATTGTACGGTAGTGCACACTATTGTGCTTATATACGTAGTATTTATGGTTTTAATGATTTTTGCCTAAAAATATTTAAAAT